CTGAGCTCTGTGCCCCCCCCGGACTGCACATCTGCACAGAACAGCTGCTTTTAGGGAGACAGCCGGCAGTGACCTTCTGCCAGTCCAGAAATACCCCCCCCCCCAGGAGCAGGACAGCTGAAGGCCAGACGTGGCGTCCCGAGCACGTCCAGGTCAGCAGGGCCCCCTCATGAGGCCCCGCTCTAAAAGGAGCCGGCCTCTCTGCCTGGACCAGGTGGGGGGGGGGCAGAGGAGCTAGGTTCTGTTTGGGTTCCTCTGGAGAACCGGCTTCACCCGGAGTAACCCCGGGAACTCTCAGCCGGACTGGGCAGCATCAGGATGAGGGACGGAAACCCAGAGCTTACTCAGGCTCAACCGGAGGGGAGGACGGGGCAGTCCAAGAGAAGCCCCAAAAAACAGACTAGACCCTCCAGCTCAGCTGGATCTCTGCAGATCCAGATCCCAACAGCAGCAGCTATCTGACAGCTCTCCCACCAGAGCAGCTCACACTCTGAGTTATTCACAGAAGAACTACAGCTCCACCAAGAGCAGCACTAGGAGACACAGGGAGGAAACAACCGCCTTTAGGGGGAACAAACCTGGAGCTCCATCATAGAGGAACGTCTTAAGCCTACTCTGAAATGTAGAGTAGGGATGGGAGGGTTTCTAAACCCGTGTGAACCGTCGGGTTGTGTCTGGGTTGGGTTGGCGTGTGTTGGTTGGGTTCCTGCTGCTCCTTTTTCTCAGAGGGAAACGTTTACACTCCAGAGCAGAAGGGGGCGCTACTGCGCCCAAAGCCAACCACCAGTAGGAAACCAGAAGAAGAAGAAGCAGCGTAGCCCATAAAAATCAGACCCAGCAGCAGTTCTAGGTCTGCTGTATGGACCAGTTTGCATTTAGAGGGAAGCACATGTTGGAATTAGCTCTGTTTCCTCTCTGGCAGAATCTCACCTACTTTAACCTCAGACTGTCACAGTAATGGATCACATGTCACACTGCTTTTTTCTTTCAGTTTTAACCTGACTATACAAGACATAATAGATTTTCCTAACAATCAACATATACCGAACCCAAAACCGTGACCACCAAACCGTGAAGCGAACCGAACCGTGGGTTTTGTGAACCGTCCCACCCCTAGATGGTGATAATCTCTAATAACTAATGATAATGACAGCAGTAATAACAGCAATCAGACCACCCCAGCCTGACCCCCTGCAGAGGCTGTGGTCAGTCCCTTT